GCTTGGTTTGAAATAGTCAGACTTTTCAATACAAATGGCAGGCATTTCATGTAAACAAGGTATATTTTAAGACGGGATATATGAAGATGCTCACTTTCAGGCATTCAAATAAAAGAAAAGAAATCTCATGGAGGATGACTGAACTGTTCCTTCCCAGCCAGCTCAAAGCAGCCAGCACAGTTTGGCACAGCACTAATAGATGCTGATGGGTGTCATGGTTTCCCAGCCAAAACCAGGATGATGGGCCAAGCTCAGAAGTGATATCTGGATCAGTCTGGGAGCTACTGGATGTACCTCCACATGGGCAGTGCTGCTAGGCTACTTCCTGCCCAGGCCTTATAGTCTCATTACCAACATTTGCTATCCTTTTTTTGTAAGCAATTTTGTTCTCAAAATATTCTGAGAGAAAGGTAGTGATAAAGAAGAAAGCCAGGAGAAGAGATTATTAACTGCACTGGACACATTCTGTATTGAGATATGCTCTAAAAGCAGGATTCAGCTCAACTGGTTAAAGGTATAGTCCATCCACTCCAGTCTACTGAGTGGGCTGTCTTTCAGACAACTTCAGAGGTCTTATAATAATAATAGTAATAGAGGAGCCGACACGGAGAGGTGCCATGCTTGACCTCGTGCTCACCAACAGCTCGTTGGAAATGTGGCGCTCCAGGGCAGCCTTGGATGCAGCAATCACGAGATGGTTGAATTTGAGATCCTCAGGACAGTGAGAAGAGCGTGCAGCAAGCTCACTGCCCGGGACTTCAAAAGAGCAGATTTTGGCCTCTTCAGGAACCTGCTTAGGAAGGTTCCATGGGATACAGCCCTAGAGGGCAGGGGGGCCCAAGACTCTTGGTTGATTTTCAAGGATCACCTGCTACAAGCTCAGGAGTGTTGCATCCCAACTAGAATGAAGTGCAGCAGGGTTAGTGTGAGCTCGCAGCCCAGAAAGCCAACCGTATCCTGGGCTGCATCAAAAGGAACATGACCAGCAGGTCGAAGGAGGTGATCCTGCCTCTCTGCTCTGCTCTTGTGAGACCTCACCTGGAGTATTGTGTGCAGTTCTGGTGTCCTCAACATAAAAAGGACATGGAACTGTTGGAACAAGTCCAGAGAAGGGCCACGAGGATGATCAGGGGACTGGAGCACCTCCTGTATGAAGACAGGCTGAGAAAGTTGGGGCTGTTCAGCCTGGAGAAGAGAAGGCTGCGTGGAGACCTCATAGCAGCCTTCCAGTATCTGAAGGGGGCCCTTAGAGATGCTGGGGAGGGACTCTTCATCAGGGACTGTAGTGATAGGACAAGGGGTAACGGGTTCAAACTTAAACAGGGGAAGTTTAGATTGGATATAAGGAGGAAATTCTCTCCTGTGAGGGTGGTGAGGCACTGGAATGGGTTGCCTAGGGAGGTTGTGAATGCTCCATCCCTGGCAGTGTTCAAGGCCAGGTTGGACGAGGCCTTGGGTGACATGGTTTAGTGTGAGGTGTCCCTGCCCATGGCAGGGGTGTTGGAACTAGATGATCTTAAGGTCCTTTCCAACCCTAACTATTCTATGGCCCTATTCTATGATTCTTATACATTTTAAGGAATTAGTTACTGCTGCAGGTGTCTATGTCTGTCAATCCAGGGAACAGTATAAACAGGAGCCAGATTAGGTACCTACATTATTAATGCTCTCATTTTACTTGGTTGATATTAGGCAAAAGGAACTACACTCTCAGGCTGAATTTTCTCCCCAGATAGCAAATGTACTGCAGAAGTTAACAAAGCCTCTTATTTGCAGTAAAGCTTTACATGAGTACTTTGAACTGACGTTTTAAGGACCATAGGCCGTACTGCCTTTTCTATCCCCCTCAAATAGGTTCTCATCTGTGGGATGTCCTGTGGGCACATCTGGGAACAGGCTCTCTGCTTCTCCACCACATACTGGCTGCCAGTGGTTCCCAGAGCCAGCATCAGCTGAGGGTTCATCGTACTTCACATTGGCTCTCCCAGTCTCTGCCTGTTATAATTTATCCAGTACAAAATTGAGCGTGAAGAGGAAAAGCGAAAAGATCCATTGGGCACAAAATAAGCAAAGTCAGGCAGAAAATCTGCTCCTGTCAGTCTAAACCAGCTTCTTCTGACATCGTAGTAGAGCTCTTACAGATGTTGGCAAGAGCGGACCCTTCTCTGTTATAGCACTGATTACTGTCAGGTGCAAAAAGACATCTGCAGTCTTGTAAATAATAGTAAAGCAATGTCTGGGCTCAAACAGCATCAATAATTTCTCTGTAAAGACTTTTTTATACATATCCAATTGGGGCACAAAAAACCAATGGCCTAAGTAATGGTTCAGTTGTCCTGAGGAAAACTCAATCGTTCTGCTTTTTCTGGTGCAGGGAGAAGGAGGAGTAGCATCATCATACACTCCCATTACTCCTGCGCCAAGCTGGCGTGGGGGGAAAGATCTGAGAGCTTTAATAGTGCTAGAGCCCTGTGCAGACAGACAGACTGACGACAGCTGTGTGCCTCCCACGTTGCAGCTACCTACTTGTAGAAGGTATAACCAATCTGGTTTCCTAAGGCTAAGCAATAAAGATTCTGAATATCAAGGTTAAGTAATAAATACAAAGCAAAGTATTCCCTCAATTCTTGAATAAAACATTCCAAGAAAGTGCAGTGCTAATGGATCTGAAAAAATAGGTGCAATATAGTAATGTAGCACAGTGTCTCCTCAAGTGCAAGGAACATCATGCACACCGAATGGTTTAAATTTTATGCAGTTTCAACCCACACATTTCAGATGGGACCAATAACATACCCTTTGGTTCTCTGTCTCTCTCTTTGCATGAAGCAGGTACAAGAGACTGCTCTTTTCCTTGTATTCATTAAGCACCTTCCAGCAGGTGACAAGGACAGTTGCCAGCTAAACTAAGCGTGGATTAAACTTACTTTTCATGTGCCCAGTTACAAGAGTTACTTGGCAACAACTCTTCCTTTTCTTTCTCTCCCCATACTGGTAGTGTAGGCAAAAATGCAAGCACTAAACTTATTTTCAAATTAAGTGTAAAACTCCTGCCAGGATTAGTATCTTGGCTGAGATGGAAAGTGCAGCTCTCCCAACTCCAGCTAGTTCCACAAGGACCATATTGTCCCCAAAGGCTGTTCATTGCTTCTCTCAAGCTATAGGTCTATGCTTTGGAAGTAAAAAACATGATAGCTAGAAGCTGGAGGGGTAGTGACCAAACAAACCCAGGGTCCTGTTAGCATAGAGGACTAATACTTGTAGTCCTCACCCAACTGATCCAGCACATAACTGCCTGCTCTTACCCTTCTTCCTATAAATTAGACTTGGTGGAATGTGAACCCAGGACACAGGGCCCATTAAATCTGAAAAGCACACAGCTCCACCTGTGCTATCCAAATGATAGAGAGGCTCCCCAGTGACGCTGTATCTCCACTGGGTCTGACATGAAAACACGACTAAGTGATGATCTGTCCCAGAGTGCCTGTTTGGTTTCACTAGTCAGTCCTCATGCTTTAATTGAGTGATTTGATGTTTGTTTCTTTTTTAAAACCTAGCATGATTTTAGCTGTCTGCTTCTAAAATCTGAGAAATACCCTGGCGCAAAACAACCACTGCCTCCCCATGCTTGCTTACAACAGCAAAAAGGATTCTAAACCTGAGGACAGAATGGGAAGGTCTGCCCAAATTCTACCTACTTCTAAAAAATAATGAAAAAAGGGGAAATCCTTCCTGTAGCAGACTAAACACAGCATATATGCCAGAAGGATTCTTAATGCTTTGGGATTATAGGATGAAACAGGCTGTCTCATCTGCTGTCACATCATAAAAGTGAATTTGTGCACAGTTGTAGGTACAGACGTACAAATATGAACAGCAACAAGCATCACATCCTTGGGTCCAAACTTATTCTTTTCTCACAAGCTGACAGCTCCCATTTCAAGTCCCAAATGCATTGGATCAGGAGCCCGTTTCTGTTGCAGTTTCACCTGTATGGGTGAGGAGGGAGGCAGCCAAGGAAGATTCAGCAGTGAGGAAGGTTAAGGGCTTACCCATCACAGGTTGTGTGCTCAGCAGAAAGAAAACCCCCATTCCCCATTGACAGGTGTTTAGATGATTCTTCATGAGCTCCAGCCTGGTCCAGTTAATGCTTTCCTTACCTAGGTCTGTACCTACCTGGACCCCCTTGCTGTTTCAATAAATTAATTATTAAAATTACTGAAGCTTCCAGTTTTCATTCCCTTTTCTCCCCCCCCCCCCCCCCCCAACCACTCCTTGTCTTGATCTCCTACAAGTATTACAGTTTTGGTAGTTTTGTATGTCATCTTCTCATCTTCAGTTGTCCCCTCCTGCTTATTACCCACCCTTAACAGTGAGCTTCCCTTCCCTGCCACTGCCCACCACCCATGGACAGGCACTGATGGGATGCATGGATAACCAATCCCAACTGCACACAACAAGGGAATGAAGCCTGGCATTAGGCGCCCCCTGCAACTCAAGTCTCATCCCCTCCCTGACACCCGGACAGCACTTGATATCCTGAAGCCCCAATGCCCCCAGCACACTGGGCAAGGCAAAGGCAATGCTTTCCCAGCCTCCGCAGAGGGTGACTGGGGGAAAGGCATCTTGCTTCACTGCTGCAATATAATCAGAGGGCAGTGACCTCACAGCTGCAAATTGTAACCTTTTAGAAAGTGTTTAATGGAGTCTTTACAGCAGCTATTATTTTTACAGTGTTTTCACTTTGAGAAAGAAAACAGAGCAAATGCTTACAACAGCTTAACTAAATAAGCTCAACAGGTGAGGTGTGGTACTCACCTGGGCCAGCCCAGTCCACCTGGCAGCTCAGGACTCTCAGTGGCCGGAAATGAAAGGAGGGGTGGAAATGGACCTTCACACAGAAAGGAAAAAGTTTCTTCCCCTGCTTCAGTTTTTGTTTGTTTCTTTAAGTAACAGACTGTTTCAGAAAAATAAACACACAGAAGGGCTCAGGGCAAAGATACATTTTGTATACAGCTTTAATGAAAACATGTTTTTCTTGTTAACACCTTGTTATATCCTAAAATCACAATACAGAAAAAACTGTGAATAAGGCTGCGTGCATAGACATCTCAGATTTTTAATGAAATTCACAAACCAACATAGCTTCCCCCACATGCTCGCTGCTTCTATGGCACCAAGCAGCTCTTGGTGCATGCGAACCTGGTTGAGCACTACCTGTGCGCTCTCCCTACACACAATGTGCTGCAAGGACTGCTCAAGTACAGGTTTGCAACACTAAGCTCTTCTCACTGGACTGAAAAGTGTACAGAAATGAGATATAACTGCCAAAACCACAGGCCAAGGGTGTTATCTTTCATTAGAGATCACTTTTGCAGTCTAACAGAAAGTCTGCTTTCGTATAAGCCAAAAGCATCAGTCCATAGACTGGCTAAAATATTAGAGGAATTACTCTGCAGAGCCTCTCATAGTTTGGGGTGGATTTTTGCTTCACCGCATTATGATTAATATATTGGCAAACGCACACTATCAGAAGCTTTTATCTGAACAGTTTCATAAGGCCCTTCAGGACTTGACTTAGCATGTTCCATCCAGGAGATATTTTTGTTTCAAAAGACTTCAGCAGCTTCTTTCCAGCAACATCTCATAATTTAATTCCCTGCTGAACCATATCAGTCGAAACCGCTATATTGCAGAAGTCAGATGGGATTCAGAAGACAACTGCCGCCATGCAGAGCTGGAGAGGAAATGTTATTTGTAAAGAAAAAGAAAAAAAAAAAAACAAAAAAGAAGAAAAGTGACACTTTTCTCTGATAATGACCCCAAAGTGACTCTGTTCCCTGGTAATGATCCAGAGCCCCATGTTTCTGCGATCTGTTGGGCTGCCATGAAAGAGCGGCGTGTTGCTGTAATGAGTGATGGCAGTCAGAGAAAGGATCTCTGGACAATGCTGATGCTGGAAAGCGGATACTGGTTGTTCAGCAGGTAATGAAACCCTACTTGTAACAAGGAGAGAAGAAGAGATGGTACTGGAAATTGCCAGTGTTTGAACTCTGAAACTCAGTGGGAGGGAAAAGAGAAGCAGTTTTTGTGAAATACCTTGCTCTCAGGAGTTTCAGAGAAAAATCCATGCTTTGGGGCACCTGAATGCTCACTCAGATCAACTCTTTAAGAAGAAGCTTGAATTCCCTCATATATTTAGTGGCAAGAGGGGGCCTTAAAGTAGGATTTAGACCCTCTTTATACCACATTATTAATACCAAGAAGCCATAAAAGACCTTTAGTGTTATTGCAAATCAGACTTTGAATCCCAACAGAGTACAAAAACTGAGGCTGAACTACAATATTAAACCCAGACTTTGGCAAAGTTCAGAAACAAATCTCCCTTTAAAACTGTTACCCAGTTTAGAAAATAGATCAGTCATCTGATATGTGAGCTGCAATTCCCATTAGCTTTGGGGAAATTCTCCTATTGATCTAGACTCCTAGCACAACTTAACTTCTGCATAATAATTACTGTCCTTGGAACATCTCTACTATTTGTAAGGACAAAAGAAAACTGCTGCAGATTTTATAGGAAAAGAAGTATTTTGTTTCTCAAAAGGATATAGCTCTGTCAAACCTGTGAGAGGGTATCCTCCACTGCAGATTGGTAGGTGCAGTATACCCACTCACTCCCACTACTTCTTCAGTGCAGATACGGGAGTGTTATTTTTAGTGCAGCAGGTGTAGAAAGGGTAGTTTTGAAAGAAAGAAAACAAGAAAACAAAAATAATGAATTATTTATGCAAGTTAAATCAAAATATGCTCCATATAAATGTTTAATCAGGTTTTCACCAACTTCTCTCCATATGCTCTGCCTTGCTCAACAGCAGATTTCTAATGGAATCACTAAATAAATTTTAATAGCTCTGTACAGAGTATTATGCAATTCAACTTGTGCTTATAGAGTTTTTCATTCAAAGCAGCTACAGCCAGATAAGCAAAATCTTTCAAAGTTAATATTTAAAGAAAAGAATTAATAAAAAATAATTGAGGGATTTTCCTTCTACAGCATATTTGTCACAGGCAAGTGTTATAGGGAGTGACAGTTATGCAAGTACAATCATTGCACCAGTGCAAACTGAGGTAGAGAAAGGTCTTTGTCACTTCTGAGAAATACAAGTTGCATTTGTCTGACAGCTTCCTGGGACAGCAAAAAGAGAGGTCACTGGCTCTTGCATTAGGAATCCAAAAGGCACCAAAACCTCAACTGCTCTTTTTTCATCTTTCAAATTAAATAAAAGCTAGTTTGTAGCTTATTACACCTGGTTTGCTCAGTTACCAGCTTTTACCCTACAGAGACACCTTTTTAGGAGTGCCTGAGAACTAAATGCTAGTATCCTGGGTGGGCTGTCAATCACCACAAGCAATAGCAGCGTCCCAACCAAACTGAAATACCTACGGAGCTCTTCTTCATTTTCCAGCACACCAAAAAGCTGAACATGCAAGTGTTCACTCCCTCTTTCCAGAACATAAGCAATTCAATACCCTCAGCTTTCCCTCAGCACTAGCCGCTCTGTTTCTTGTCTTCCTTTTTATACAAAGCAGCTGGTCCCTGCAGATTAACAGGGCCCAGCTGGTCTCCAGCCACTTAACCCCTTCTGAGCTGGCTCCTCATCCAGCAAAAGAAAACAGTATTGTCAGCTTTCCAGAAGCCTCACAGGGCTTGGAATAGGAGCATACCTACCAGCAAAGACACTATAAGTCTTAAACTGGAGAGAAAAGCTTGCTATGGTCTGAAAATACTTTTATTTCACATAGTAAGCCTAACTCTTCTTAGAGCTTAGATACAAGGATGTGAGAGAGTTTAGAACACTTGGAAACAAAAATGTCATAGACAAACATGTTGAGGATTTACAGACATGGTTTTGTAACTTGATCAGCTTGATGTAGAATGATCCCTCCTCTGTAACTACCTTAACTACTTTTTAAAACACTCTACTGTGATGCTGTCACTCTTTAAGCATGCTGTGTAGTGTTTTTAAAAAAATGTAAACAGATTGTGCACCTGTATGAAATTCTTCCCAGCTTTCAGTTCTTCCCAGCTTTCCAAAGGGGACCAGAGTCCATATACACGGGGTTTGTTCTTAGGGCTCGTGAAATCCTCAGAAACATGAGATCAATATTACACAGGTATTTGTGATGGCTGCAGCATTTGGTACCTGCTGGACAAAATCACAAAAATTAAGCATTAGGAGTTTTGTTGAAAAATATCTGTGTATGAACTTAGCTATGTTTGCAGTAAGAATGTCTTTCAAAATTTTACACTGGCTATTTTTTTTCACTAACATAAGCTTCTGACCATTTAAAATTAGGAGTGAAGATGTTTGAATAAAATGTATTTGCAGAGAGGGTTTCCTCTTTAGAAATACAGAGGGAGTTTTGATATCTCTAAGTGCAGAGCAATCATCAATACCTTAGGAAGATGAAAATAGGATAATGGATTTGAAAGGATAAAGGCCCATGAACTTATGAATTACTAGATTATAGATCCAGTAACCAGTTGTTTTCAAATCCTTCAGGTTGGTTTCAGTTAATGAAGTTATTTCTCCATGTCTGTAGCTTTCAACTGCTGCTCCCACCAAAGAATTTCCTCTTTGGAAGGCTGTTCTACCCTTTCCTAGTAATTCTGGTGTGAGACAGCAGTCTGCTTAGTATCAGTTATGTTGTCTTCCAAGTGAGCCATCTAAAGGACACTCAGGACTCATGTAACTGCAACTAGAGCTGTTCTCCAGCTCCCCAAATAGGCACCCAGACAAGCCTGAATGCAGCCACTCATCTTTCCAGACATTATGTAGTTCAGCTTTCCCTGTGATGGGAACACTTCTCACCGTGTCTGTGTCTCCTTTTTCCAGCCCTGGGGCGAACTGAGGCTGTTCAAAATAAGGAAGTAAGTGCTCGCAATTTAGCACAGCCATTAAGACTGTCTGAAAACTCAAAAGGTGTAGAGCAATAACCCACCACTCTACCCCACCTCATGCACATCCAGTGGGCTTTCCTGTCTTTAGCCACATTTTCGCAGCTTCTTTTGTGGGACCCCAGTGGGTTGTTCTGTATCCTCTGGACCAGAAGGCTTCTTCTAACTTCATCTGAGCCAATTTTTTTTCCACACAAGAGTCATGAAATTCATTGCTTCATGATGTGCTTCTGACCTTGGGAAGCCCCAGAGCTACAAGAGATGGAGACAGCTGTTAGTCTAGCAGAAACTGCCAGGTTTGCGAAGACCTTGCAATGGACTCTGAACATCAGCAGAAAGGCCTGAGGGAAGAGTAGACCTTAAGTCAGACCAAAAGGAGAGCAAAGGGGGGAACACGGAGGAAGAAGAATTAAAATGAGAGAATAGCTAAAAAGTCTAACAATGAGCCAAGAATATCAGCTGGACAGCTGCTTGTTTGTGCAAGGTGATAGCTCAGCTGGATTAGGGCTGGACTGAAACAAATGTGAGGCAGGAGAGTATGGGAGGATCTGGTCAGGGTGGGAAGGAAAGGGATTAAATAAGGAGATGTATAAAGTGAGAAGGTAGTACAGAACAAAGTTAGCTAAGACAAACACATTCAGAACTGGAGTATTAGTTAACATTTTGAGTCCTGCCTTTCCTCTTGTGCTTATAACTGTGCAAACATGTTAATCTATGATGTTGTCCTGAGTGCAGAGCCTGTATTCTTAACATAAAACAGGCTGTGATTTTGATGGGGAGAGAGGGAGAATTGTGTATGAAGGTCCTCAGAAAGAGTGCTCTACTTTTATTTCTGAGCAGAAACAGAAGATACTCCAAAGTCAGCCTCCATCCACTGATGTCCTGCAAAACAAAGGATGTAAAAGAGGAGCTGGCTAAAACCAGGGTGGCTTTTAGTGGCCAAGATACCCCATTACTCACTGCAAAACCTAAGCTGAAACTGCCCACCACTTCCTGTACCCGCTAATCAATTACCTCGTGGTCTCCATTCATTTTTCATTCTGTAATACTCAGATCAAAGCATTCTTGCCATACCGTCCCCTTTCAGAACATAATGCACAAAGGTTAATAGTTGAAGGTCTCCAGGCCCCGTCTCTCACCACTTTCCCTGCCGCCATGCCTGGTGAGAGCGCACGCTGCAGCTGGCGGGGGCCGGGGAGCAGCCTCCAGCCTGCCCGACCAGCAGATGCACCAGGCTCAGTGCTGCCATCGGGGTGCACCTGTTGGCTTGACACCATCTGCCAGCCAAAATGGTCAAACCCACACCCAGTGCCGGCCAGCGGGGGACAGCTTAATCTCCTCCCCACAGAACAGTGCACAAAGCGGCACCCCACACACAAAGGGACACCCCACACAAAGGGGCAGCCCGGCTCAGCTCGGCCTCGGGGGGCACCTAATCTCCAGCCGTGGTGGGGGGCTGCTGTTTGTGCTGACAAGAAAAGGCTCTTTAAATAAATCTAGAGAGCTATTACCTGACAAGAAAGAGTTGCATAAACTGCCCATTTCTTTTTAAGAAAGAAAGGTATTAGGTTAACATGGATACTAATATTAAGTAAATTAAGCCATGGTGGTTATTTTTGAAGACTATTTAGTGAGGTGGAAGCATTGTAAAGACACTGATGCTGGTCTTCACTAATGGGGATGACTTGTAAGCTGTATAGATTGAGCGCTTGCGTTTGAAACTGGAGGCTCTTTTCAGCGCATGCCACAGCCATTTCCTATGAAGAATTACCCAACCTTCTGGTGTGAGCCTCAGCAGCCAGTGTGAAATACATGCTCCAAAAAGTAAATGGTATGTGGAACCTGTCACCAAAGTACTTAAAAATGCCTTTTTTTATCAAGTTTTCAAGAAAACAAGACATGCATAAAACACAGACAGGATTTATGCAAAGACTAAGGGCTATTTCAGAAACTTTCCATTCCAATCTCTAAGTTATACCAACGAAATACTGCAGAAACCAGGATGTCTAATTGCATGACCTATTCAGGCTCTGGTTTAGTGTTCATTTTTGACCTATTTTCCAGCATTCAGCGTAACAGTGAGTCAATAGGATGGATGCAAAGACAACCTGCTAACATTGAACCTATTTTTTCAAGTCCTTGCGAAGCACCCTCAGTTTCATCAGACTGCAGTAGCAGAAGCATTGACACCTCAGCTCTTGTCATCTTTATCAGGTGCCTCTGAGCTTTATCCCCCATAGAACAGAGAAAGTCATCACCTTACTCTCTCTTAGGCTATACCCTAGTTCCACAGTTGTCTGGGGCTGAATTCTGTAAAAGCACAAACTTGCTGATCCCTGCCGCTAACACATTGGCTCATACTGTACTGGGCAGGATTGCTGACCTGGACCTGCACAGGTGATGCTGCAAAGTGTGGGGAAGGCTGGTTTTCACCCAATTTCTGTGCTTACAGGCAGTATGGAAGCAAGAGCCCCCTGTCGGCTCTGAGACCTTGAGGACAGCTATGTAGTTACATCAGCACCCTGTTCTATTTGCTTGCTTTTTTTGTCCACCTGTGCATTTATGCCTAACGGTTATACGGGGAGCTCTCTGAGACAAAAACTCGTCTTTGTTGAGGGTCACTGAACTACAGTGGGACTCCATTTCTGTTTGGTTTTGCCTTCCTCATCAGGTACATTAATAGAAATATAGCAAATAAGATAATAATGTCAATATTGTAAGAGCTGCTCATCACCCTTAGGCTTTGAAGCCAGGGAGAATTATTTTGGTATGAAATATTTTTTCAAGGAAAATACTGGAAGTTTCATCACTTTAAATATTTTAATCTATAATTGATAAGGCAGTGGGTAATGATCTTTCATCCAGAGGGATTAGGACTTTTCTATCTCTAAATTTGCAGAAGCTATCTGAAGGCAAACATTGAATAGAAATGTATTAAATTACTGTGAGCAATCCAATTTTTTAAAGAAAGTTAAATATTAAAATATATAAATAAATTACAAGTTTTCCCTTTAAAATATACACGAGGTAATTCAGAGCAAATGTTAGAATAAGCCCATCTGATAAATTAGTTACAAGGTACTAGTGGCTACTTTTTTTTTTTACACTAATGATGAGAAATGTAAAAGGCCAGCTTCATAATTCAGTGTTCATTTCAAGAGGTTCCAAGAGCACTTATGCTAGATATGTCTGTCTAGCTAATCAGTTTCTTCTCTCCTTTTAAGATGAAACACAATTATAGAACCTGTAGTTCGAATCTTTTTTATTTCCCCTGCCCAGTGCTAAAATGCATTTCAATGTAAGGAACAGTGGAGGATGATAGAGTTGAATTAACACCCTTAAACTAAGCATATTGCATTCTCTTAAATCAATGGTTTAGCTTCTGCCCTCAAGCAATGTGTGATTTGTAAATTTGAGACATGCTACCTTTAGGCAGTAGGCAATCTCTTTGAAAACACTGAAGTAGGCAACATATGGTGGCACTGTGCAATACGAAATTGTTCTAAAGATACAAGTTTCCAGCTTCAGTGGTACAAGCCCAATTTTAAATAAAACATCGTATCATATGGTTCCTGGTTAAACACTGCAGTGAAAAAACCTGGCTAGATGGTCATCTTTTAAACGACAGAGGGAACAGTTTACACACGGACACTTGGAAACCCAATGACTATAAACACGCACTCACCCGCTACCTTTCGATACATGTAAATACTGAAATATGACAGCTTGCATATTTGCAGAGCCTTGTAAGCTCATGGATTTCTCTCTTGTTAT